TAGGGGAGGAAGTTTCTCCAAATTAGGTTTTTTAAAAGATTTATTTATTTATTTGAAAGTCAGAGTTACACAGAGAGAGAAGGAGAGGGAGAGGGAGAGGGAGAGGGAGAAGGAGAGGGAGAGGGAGAGGGAGAGGGAGAGAGAGAGAGAGATCTTCCATCTGCTGGTCCACTCCCCAGTTGGCTGCAATGGTTGGAGCTCTGCCAATCTGAAACCAGGAGCCAGGAGCTTCTTCCAGGTCTCCCATGTGTGTGCAGAGGCCCAAGGACTTGGGCCATCTTCCACTGCTTTCCCATGCCATAACAGATAGCTGGATCGGAAGTAGGGCAGCCGGGATTCAAACCGGGCTCACATGGGATGTTGATACTGGATGTGGTGGCTTCACCCATTATGCCACAGCACCGGCCCCCAAATTAGTTTTTTTTCTAAGATTTATTTATTTATTTTAAAGGCAGAGTCGCAGAGGGGTAGAGGCAGAGAAGGAGGGAGGGAGGGATGGGTCTTCCAATTGCTGGTTCACTTCCCAGATGGCTGCAATGGTTAGAGCTGCACTGATCTGAAGCCAGGAGCCAGGAGCTTCTTCCAGGTCTCCCATGTGGGTGCAGGGGCCCAAGGACTTGGGCCATCTCCCACTGTTTTCCCAGGCCATAGCAGAGAGCTGGGTCAGAAGTGGAGCAGGTGGGACTCAAACTGGGGTGTACATGGGATGCTGGCACAGCATGTGGTGACTTTACCCACTATGCCACAGCACCAGCCCCAAAATTAGCTTTTTTTTCCTAAGATTTATTTATTTATTTGAAAGGCAGAGTCACAGATGGACAGAGGCAGAGAGAGAGAGAGAGAGAGGTCTTTCATCCAATGGTTCACTCTCCCAGATGGCTGCAACCGCCAGAGCTGCACTGATCTGAAGCCAGGAGCCAGGAACTTCTTCCGAGTCTCCCATGTGAGTGCAGGGGCCCAAGGACTTGGGCCATCTCTCACTGATTTCCCAGGCCATAGCAGAGAGCTGGATCAGAATTAGAGAAGGCGAGACTCGAACCAGTGCCCATATGGAATGCCGGCACCACAGGCAGCAGCTTTACCTGCTGTGCCACAGCACTGGTCCTCAAATTAGTTTTAAAAGCAAGAATTACAGTGATTGAGAGAAGGTTGTATAATTTGGCATTATTAATAGAACATGCACTAAACAAAGTTGTGGATAAAACAACACAAGTAGTCACTCTGCTGAAATGGAGGAAAAAATTTATAGATCTAATATACAAGAATCTATGAACTATATAACATTTCTGGCCCATAAGCAAAACACCCAGACACACACACTAATGATTGAAGTAGACCATTTTGATAGTTCCCAGTTTTCAGTTGTAGAAAAACCACAGACTTGACATGTATTTTTTATTTTTGTCGTTATAAAGGTGTATCTGTCAATGTGGAAGGATAGAACATATTTCACTTAATAGTTTTGATTACTTGATTTATAACTTTCAAATATTTGGACATATGGTATGTGGGCCTCTGCTTACTCTCATGCCTCTAGCTTTCTAATTTGTTAGAAGTGGGCCAGGAACCAGCAAAACAGAAGAAATAAAGCCTGAAACTATGAACAGAAGCCAAACTAGAATCGTAAACCTGCTCCTGGTACAAACTAGCACATTATCTTGAAATCTTCACATGAAAACAGATGCAGTCTCAAGGGGGCGCAACAAGTGCCTCCCTGGGGCATAGTGCTGAGGGCCTCTCAGCCCACGCCAACTCTAATACACTGAACAGTTTTCACTGTTATATATTCTGAATCTCGGGGCTGGCACTCTGGTGTAGAAGGTTAAGCCACCTGTGGTTACGGCATCCCTTAAGGGTATTGGTTCAAGTCCTGGCTCTATTTCCAATCCACTTTTCTGCTAATGTGCCTGGGAAAGCAGTAGAAGATCGCCCAAGTGCTTGGGGCCCTGCACCCACGTGGGAGACCACGATGACATTCCTGGCTCCTGGCTTCGGTCTGGCCCAGCCCCAGCCATCGAGGCCATTTGGAGAGTGAACCAGTAGATAGAAGATTCATTCTCTCTCTCTCTCTCTCTCTCTCTGCCTTTCAATTAAACAAATAATTGTTCAAAACAAATTTCTGAATGTCAGGATCATGTCATAAGGTTCTTTTTATTTCCTTTTCAGTAATCTTGACTGTGTCACTTTCAGGTAAACATCCCTTTTTCAGAAAAAGCAGTGTACAATTTGACAACAGTCCTTTAGAAGGTTCCTCAATGTTATGATATTCCCGTTGCCCATCCCCCATTTATAAAGATTTTATTTATTTATTTGAGAGGTAGAGTTACAGACAGAGAGAGGGAGAGACAGAGAAAAAGATCTTCCATCTGCTGGTTCACTCCCCAAATGGCTGCAATGCCTGGAGCTGAGCCAATCTAAAGTCAGGAGCCAGGCTCCGGAAGTTTCTTCTGGGTGTCCCATGTGGCTGCAGGGGCCCAAGCACTTGGGTCACATGAAAAAAAAAAAGTCAAATCACTCAGTTCTAAGAGAAAGATAAAAAAGGTACCAAAATGCCAATGAAGAATGCCAGAAAGTGCATGGAGAATGAACTGCAGAAGGCCCTGTAGGATGTGCAACTTGGAGTGGATTTTATTGTAATTCCTTCCATACCAACACTGCAACTCTGTATCTCATGCCTCTACTCAGCAACATCACGAGGCAGGTGTTGTGGTGCAGCAGGTTCAGCCTCCACTTGGGAAGCCTCCATCTCATATTGGAGTCCTGGATACTCTGCTTCCAATCCAGCTTCCTGCTAAAGCACCTGGGAAGCAGCAAGTAATGGCTCAAGTGCCTGGGACCCCACCATCCATGTGGGAGGCCTGGATGGTGTTCAAGGTTCCTGGCTTTGGTCTGGCCCAGCACTGGCTGTTGTGGGCATTTGGGGAGTGAACCAGTGGATGGCAGATATCTCTCTCTCAATCTCTCCCCACCTCCCTCTTCCAATCCATCTTGCTCTTTCAAGTAGATGAAAATAAACCTTTAAAACAGCAAACAAACCAACAAACAAGAATCCAACATGAAGGATAATCAGAGATACAACAAGAAACAAGGGCCTCACACCAACGGATATTTTGAGCTGTGGTTGAGCATCATTAAGGACCTTCAATACCCTCTCCAAAGATGTCAGTTTGCAAAAATGGCATGTTATCTTTGTGTAAAATTGAAAACTAGGAGAGATTTAAACTGGATCCATTAGAAAGATGTCAGCAAAGAAATATTGAAGTAAGAGCATGCATTATTCCCTAAACAGAATAGTAGAATAACTATTTACATTGCATCTACATTGTATTTGGTCTATAAGTAATCTAGAGATGATTTTAAGTATACAGAAGGATGTGCATATATTTTATGCAAATGCTATGCCATTTTTTATAAAGGACTTGAGCATTCAAAGATTTCTGGCATCCTCAGTGAGTTCTGGAAGCAATCACTTTTGGACACCAAAGGACAACTGTATATTATTCTAGACTTAGAACTTAACCTTTTTATTGTATTTTGTGCTATGCATCCTATACATGCTCTAATATGGCTGTCTTATGAAATAAACTTTTTATCGTTATCCACTAAAAAAAGACATATAAGTGCTTAAAAGTAATTTTGATAATAGAAATGTAACTCTTTGAGGTAAATACAACTGACAGAAAGTCAACCCAGTACTTTACACTAAAGGCAGATTTGTGAACCACATTAATCAATCTGGGATATAGATTATCAACTACATCTGAATCATAGATTAACAGGAACAAATAGGCATCAGGGTGGAATGCATTTTTACAACAAGTAACACAAGTTTTAATCTTTGTTTAAGTAAGACTTCAAAAGGTTTCCACATATAACCAACTGTGAGACCATTAAAAAAAAAAGATTAGCTTCAAGAAATGCAAGGCAGAGAGACCAACTTCTGATCTGTGTAAGATCAATCAACATTTTCTACCTGAGCAAGGAGAATGCAATTAGCACTTGGGTGATTTTAAGGACTCTTTTACAGTTGCCTTTAACAGGCTGATGAAATAGCAGAACAGTGTGGCTGAAGGCCAATGTTTATTTTTACCCATTACCTATTTTATTAATGGGATTGTGGGCCCCTGGGCCTCAGGGCACACAAAAATGTATTAAAATACCCCACACTGTAATTAAGTGGCACAGAGGGGATTTGAGCAAATTAAATGGGTGTTCTATTTGTCATGGGTATAGTCTGGGCCACAGCAGTCATGGCAGAGCCTAGCAAAATGTACTTCATCAGCCTACAAAATATGGAGGATATTTTCATGCAGAGCAAGGGTTTTAATAAATGGGTCTTTCCTCCCAAATAAAAGTATATATAAAGAGAAAATGCTCCAACTGGGTACTCTTACAGTGAAAGATGAGAATCCCTTCGCCAGAATAAAAGACAAATGCACCAGTAACCGTACCAGCTAAAGAAATGGGATCTTTAGACTCCATTAGCAAGGGACTAAAAATGAATCAAATGTCTATGTACTTCTCAACCAAGCACGGGACTTTCCCCCTCTGTGTGTTAGAACTTCTGTCTCCAACTTCATTAAAGGGAATAGAAAGTGCAGTGATCACCTTACTCTTGCCCTGTTCAGTAAGTAAAGCACCTGACATGCTTGCACAACGGTAGAACAGTGACCTTTCTGCTTAAAGTTCCTAGAGCTGCACTCGATCTCTGTTGTTGTGGTTGGATTTCACCAAAGCTATTGTTGTCACTGAATGTTAGATTCTTTTTAAAAAGAGGAAATTTATGAAGCGCTTCACTTTGATCACTGAGATTACTGCCAATGCTGGTCTCTGTGAATCTTTATGTCAGAGGACAAGCAAAACGAAACGAGGCCAGGGCCACGTGGAATGACATCTGGAAACACAGTGTTTGGTCCAAGCAGGAGACAACACTGCCTTTGTCCCAGAAACCTAGGGAGAAAGGCTTAGAAATGGCAAGAAAGGAGACACAAAGTACTTACGAGGATCCTGGACTTGCAGTGGGAGGGGGGCCTGCAGAAATGAAAGACAAACAAAGGAAGCAGTCAGTCTGGGCTTGAGGAGGGTGAGTGCGGGTACAGTTGAACCATTACAGATCAAAGTTCTCAACCACCCAGAGGGGATATTTATTTTTCTGGGATTTAGTGTTTTGTTCCAGTTCCCCCCAACCACTTCTATGAAGAAAGTAGACCACTGAGACTGTGTCTAGATCCCACAGTTCAGGGACTGAGGAATGCTGAGACAAGTGCTGAAAATGGGCTCAATGGAACATGCATCCTCACACTATGCCAGGAGTTTGAACACATGTGAGTGGATGGACACGAGGCATGCTTGTGCCAAGTGGTCCCACATTCTCTGGACAAAGAGCATCCTGGTTCAGAAGAACTCAATAGGGTGATGGTTTGGAGTAGGGGATGCAGGGTCAAACAGCTCTGGGCTCCTCCAATCCTATTACTAGCTGGGCAACCCTGAACACAGCAACTAACTATCCAAGCCTTGGTTTACCTACTTGAAAAAGAAGTATAATTGTATCAGCTTTAGGGTTGTGGGTACCCAGTACGTTTTGATAAGTGCTCATTCCCTCCTTCCTTGCCCCCATGAACCTTTGCCACCCCACTGCACGGGGCTCAGGTAGGTCCAAAGCCAGCCCCAGTAGGAGGTACTTACCAAACTTGACAAACAAGACGCCAGTGGTAGAAACCACTTTCTTGCCATTTGTTGCCACACACTGGAAGTAGCCCGTGTCCGTGGTGTCGAGGTTTCTAATCCTCAGCCTAGAGCCATAGTTGGTTGCTCGAAAGGAGAGTCTTCGGGGCTCCTGGACTACTGGTGCATCGTTTTTGAACCAGCGGATGGTGGGAGGTGGGTTCCCAGAGACTTTGCAGTGCAGCTCTGCGGTCTGCCCCAGGGATGTGGTGATGTTATTCATTGGTTCATCCAGCGTCAGGTAAGAATCTGTGAGCACAGAGGAGACACAGGCAGGTGAGAGGAGCAGAGTTGGGAGCACTCCGCTCGTATCGCTGGGTCACAGAGACACTCAACAGGAGAGGCCAATGGAGGTGGACAAGGAATGAAGTGATCACATTTTCCAAGAATCCACAACTACTGAACAATCACTCACAGAGCCTGGTGCTTGCAAGGAAATTGGTTACTCTTCAGAGGATAAAATTCGAAGTCTTCAAATGACTTCATGACACCCGTGGGTAAATGTATTTCTTATATTAAGACAAAATGGGCTTCTGTGCTTCAAATCCTGAACACAATACACACTCCCTGCTTCAATTTCCAACAGTACAGAGAAGAGAGGAAAAGAAAAGAAAAGCAAAATTCACCTCAATCTCTCTACCCCAAAATAACACCCCTCTGGCAAACATCCTTTCCTCTCTTGATAACAGAGAAAATATCAAAACTAGAAAAGGCAGGAGCAACACATTTACAAGCACATGGCACAAGAGGAGGAAGAATGCCAGACACCTTTCCATTAGTGAAGACAGAAGGGTCGCAAAGACCAGATCCCTGGTGGATGAAGTGTCAGGGCAACAGACATTTCCACAATGTTCCATACAGTTCTTTCCGCTGTATACAGAGCTTCAGCTCAATTATACTCAGATTTTGAAATGTGAGTTACATTCTGTGCAAAGTACACATTCTAATTCTGCAGTTCCATGAGGACTGACAAATGCATATACCCATGAAACCATTGCCCTGTCCGGATAGAACATCACCAACACCCCAGGAAGTACCCCCCAAATCCTTTGTAGCTAATTCCTGCTGCCAACCACTCCATTCCACCCCACCCACAGGCAACTACTGTTCTGATTTCTATCATCACAGATTAATTTTACCTGTTCCAGAATCTCTTATAAATGAAATCACATTGTATGCACACTTTGCATTTAGCCTCTTTTGAGGTTTATTGCAGTAGAGTTTTATTTGAGCTTATTTGATAATATTTAAGCATCATATTAGTATTAGCTGTGGAATCCAGTTGCAGAGAATAGGATTTATTTTATTTTAAGAAAATGAAGTTTAATATTTTAAAAAATGCTCTGTTGTTCATACATATGGAGTTTTCTTTAGTTTTCATTTCCCTGACAACCTATCCTTGGGTAGCTACCCATCATACCCTCTTACTGTCCTCCACCTTCTCTAGCCCTATGCTTAGGATGGCTGGCTTAGCTGCTGTCATTACTGCACGGCTACAAGCCCTAGAACATCGGGCCTCGGAAGGTCTGGGTCTTCACTGACTGCATTATCAGGGTGTACTATTGTCCCATGGATCTTTCCTCAATGATAGAAATATTCTAAAATCTGCATTGTCTGATTGGTAGCCACTAGCCACACATGGCTTTTTGAGAAATAGGGCTAGAGCGAATAAGGAACTGGATATTTAAATAGCCACATGTGGCTAGCAGCTCCTGTACTGGGCAGCATAGGTAGAATACAGTAAATTTGTTGAGTTTAATGGAACCATAGTTTAAAAAGAGCCCTTTTCTGAGCTACTTAACCAGGAAATTTAACTAGCCAAATGTCTGTAAAATGAGTTCATAAATGTTAAAAATAAATGATTTATTATTTGCTTTCATTTCCCACAAAAAATTGGAAAGGGTATTGTTAGAGTCTGGGAAGCCACAGGAGGATGTCACATGTGTGAATGGCATTTATTATGTGTTTACAATAGAAAAGAGCGTCAGGATGACCATCACTCACTTTGTTACCATAATGCCACTCTTCATCTCACTTAAGTCAGTGAATAATTATCCTTCACAACAGAATCATGAACCCATAGTGATCCTGCAAATGCCTTGCTTCCTTACATTTCTGTTCTGGTTTCTATCTTTGAGCATGTTACTATAATCTACATTCATCTATGCTTGATCTGTGAATGTGTGTGCTCATGAATGCGAGCACATGTGTTCCTAAGATGTCTGTGGTATGCCCAGAAAGCAGGGAGATTAATTAACAGATGAATTTACGGAGCCACCATCATTGCTGCACAGCCACATCTCATGCCTTGAGAATGCGTAACTATGTCCCCTCTATAGATGGAAATATAGGAATAGCAATCATATAACACTGCGCTGAGTAGGTTCTGCAACTGGAATGCTGAGTTTGAATTCACCTCTGTTCTCACCCCACCCCTGCCCCTGCCTATCTGTCTGACCTACAACAGGTCATTTAACCTTTCTGTACTTCAGTTTAATCAATGAAAAATAGGAATATTAAACAGGGTTCCACATGGCAAAACTGTTAGAGGAAGATTAAAATGAAATCAAGTGGAGTGGATGTTTAGCTTAGCAGTTACCACATTCCACATCTGGGTATCTATTCCTGGCTCTGGCTCTGGACTCCAGCTTCCTGCCAGTGTAGACTCTTGGAGACAGCAGTGATGGCTCAAGTTATTAGGTTCCTGGTACCCAGAGTAGGAGTCCTGGGTTGCATTCCCAGCTCCTGACTTCAGCCCCAGCCAGGCTTTGGCTATTGAAGGCATTTGGGGAGTGAACTAATGGTTGTCTGTCTGTCCCTCTTTCACTCTTTCAAATTAATTATTCAATTAGTTAAACCAGGTGACACCAGTGAAGCCTTACATCAATGTTTGATAAAAAGCAAGCACTCACAAATGCTAATTTATGTTGCCACTATTACATTTATAATAACTTCAGTACAATGCTTTTCAGGCTACACAATGTTTTCGTGGCTTCTGACCCTGTCATCCCCAACAATCCAGCAAAGTGGGAAAGGCACATTAATTACCAAGATCCCCATTTGTAGATAAGGAAATTGTGTCTCAAGGGCTGGTGGATTTGCTCCAATGGTCACGGTATAAATTTCCCGAAGCTTCCGTCACTATTGGCCTTTAATTCTTAGGCTCGGCCTAGCCCCTAAACAAAGTCCAGTGGAGGTAACCAGCCAATCCAGTAGCTGGTTAACAGACTATTTTGAAATCTTATCATAGGCCAGGGCTTCACTTTCGTATTTACTGACACAAGGACCCTTGCAAGGAAGAAGCTTTTATGACTGTTTTGCAATGAGGAAAGCTAGGATCAGAGAGGTTACAGAACTTGCCCACGGCCTTGTGAGTGATATGTGGCCCGATTCACATCTCTCTGTTTCCAAAACCTAGCTCTTTCCATTCTACCAGATGATTTGATGTCTTGGAGCCCACCAAGGGCTGGGTATAGAGTTGGAATTTCTATCCCAAACCAGGCTGAGTCCTGGACACACAGGTACCCGTGAGGCTACGTAGTCCCCCTACCTCCCACCAGGACTCTCTTCTTAATGGGACTAAACTCTGGCCATGGGTTCTGGCTGGGGTTCGTTTCCCTCTGGAGACCAGGTGCCTCCTCTGACCTGTGTTCTCTGATATCTGCACAGCATGGATCTAAAAAGAAAAATGAAGAATGCAGGGCATCTTGACATCAGAATGCTGTCATAGAGAACAAAGGAAATGTAAATGTATCTTGGTGTTTACTGAATAAAGAAGCTTTGGCACCAACAGAGAATTTGGTTTCAACTTTTCACTAACATAAAAAGCAGGTTCAAATTTGTTTGCCATCTGTAGCTGCTCATTTAGTAAGCAGCAGAACTAACAAATGGTTTCGTCCTTGATTTGGCAAAGACCAGAAGCAATGGGGCGGCATTTTGCCTAACAACAAAAAAGCATTCTGCAACTGGAAGGGAATAAAATAAAATAAAAACGCATGTCTGTATCACTGCTATCTTTCTTGTTGCTAACAAGGCCCTGGCCCGGATCCATTCTTTTCCCAGAAGCAGCTGGATCCTTCCGTAGCAACCTCAGGGGCCGTGCTAGGGGACCCACTCTGGTCACTACATCCAAGGCTTGGTGGAACCCTAGCTAGCAGGTTCTACAGTATGCATCCAAGTCAAGGGACACACTGCCGAAGAAATTCTCAGAGTGGGCTCAAGCACCAGGTCTCCACCAAGCAGCTGTGTGCATCAGGCAGGCACTGCACCTCCCTGGGCTTTGGATTATCTGGGCCACAGGGGTCTGCTCTTTCTGTGGCAGATCATAGAGGCAGCTGTAGAACCACCGGATGGCAGGCAGCAGGTGCCCACTGGACTTGAATGCCAGACCAGGCCACGTGGCCTTGACATTTACACCTGCTGTTTGTAGTTCCTTCAGTCGTTTGCTTCAGCATCTCTGACAGTATGTGCTCCAGCTGTAGATTTCTCATCCTTTTTTTCCTAGACTACAAGGTTTGAGAAAGGAGACTAGGGTGTGGGATAGACTGTAATTTCATTTGAGAGAGAGAGAGAGAAAAAAATCCCGTTCTACTGACTCCACATCTAGGTCTTCATGCCTAATAAGCTGTCTCCCAGTGGTAACACGAGCAATAGCGACGATGATGACAGTGACTATAGTGAGTACATAATAATGACAGGGATAATAGCCCATGCCAAACAGCACTTACTATCATGGCAGGTATGAACATGTTACACCTGAGAAACCCAAGGCACAGAGAGAAGAAGGTTGTCCAGTAAGTAGAAGAGAGTCTCTACAGCAACAGAAGTTCTCAAACATTTTGGTCTCAGGACCCCTACCTACACGCTCTTTGACTACAAAGAGATAATTAGTTCATTAATTTATATAAAAATAATTCCATGACTTATATAAGTTTCTAAAAAATCTTATTTATTTATTTTTACTGTATTTGAAAGGCAGAGGGGGAGACAGAGAGAGAGGGAGAGAAAGAGAATCTTATATCTGCTTGTTCCCTCTGCAAATGCCCAAACAGCAAGGTTAGGCTAGTCCAAAGTCAGGAGCCAGGAGCTCCATCTGGGTCTCCCATGTAGGTGGCAGGATTTAAGTAGTTGAGCCATCATCTGCTGCCTCCCAGGTTGCCTATTAGCAGGAAGCTAGATCAGAAGTAGAGTAGCCAGGGGCTGGCATTGTGGTACAGTGGGTTAAGCTGCCATCTGTGACACTAGCATCC